GCTTACTGAAAATCAATAACACACCACCAGCAAACGCCAGTCTTCACACTAGTTTGTTCTGTTTAGTTCATCAGCCTAAACGTACAAGAACAGGCATCCGTTTGCATACAATGCCAATGAATTAATGAAGACACATTCTTCATTAATTCATTGTGTGGGGATATGCTTATATTAGGGAGTATGGACATACATTGGTCAAAATATGTTTAACAGTTCTTCTCCCAATCACAAATGAATCACATTTCACTTCTGAAATGGCCCCACAGCGTACTACGTGGCTAGAGAAGTTTTTTTGAATGCACTTTAACATATGTATATATATACTCTAAAATGAACAGTAAATATTTAAGATACTACGTTAGCCACTTATTATTTACTACTCATTACATATTTTTCCATTTCAGAAAACAAATTCTCAGATGTTTGTGTGTGTGTGTGGGTGTCAATGATAAATGTGGTTTTCGGATGGTCTGTGGGGAGGTGGGGTTTAGGGCTGGGCATATAGGATTGTTTTTAACAAAACTGTAAAGCACTTTGTTGAATTTTTTTTGTATGAAAAGCCCTTTATAAATACAATTTGATTGATTACCATTCATGTTTTTTTTTTTTCCTCTTTACCATAAACCCCTCAAAATATTCAAACCCTTCAAAATGTTCCCACATTTTCGGTTGATCTCCATCTGTGAGTGCATCGCTGAGTGGGCGTCACAGCAGTGATTGCAAAAAAGGCATGACATTATAAGTTAGGAACTAGAATCATGGATTTAATAGGGCAAATTTTCCACAGCTATAGTAATTGTAGTAATGGGACTTCAATACCTGTGAAGACAACCATGGTGATTCCATTTCTCTACATTGATACAAATGTACAGTACAGACCAAAGGTTTGGACACACTTTTTTTCATTCAATGAGTTTCCTTTCTCTTCATGACTATTGACTGTAGATTCACACCCAGGCTGTGTAAGGGCTATTTGACCAAGAAGGAGAGTAGTGATGGTGCTGGGCCGGATAACCTGGCTTCCACAGTCACCGGACCTGAACCCAATCCAGATGGTTTTGGGGTGAGCTGGACCACAAAGTGAAGGCGAAAGGGCCAACAAGTGCTAAGCATCTCTGGGAACTTCTTCAAGACTGTTGGAAGACCATTTCAGGTCACTTCCTCTTGAGTGTGTGAAGCGGTAATCAGAGCAAAAGGTAGCTACATTGAAGAACCTAGAATATAAGACATATTTTCAGTTCATGGAAATAAAAAACTAATTGAATGAGAAGGTGTCCAAATGTTTGGTCGGTCCCAAACAAAGTTATAGCTGTTATAGTATTATATTGTGTACAGTTAATGGAACATGTAGGCTTTTCAATGAGCTGAGCAAATGCATCCAAGTGAATTATATTGTTATGGATTGGCAGCTCTAAGAAATTAGCTCCCATCACCGAAAGTTCCAGGGGACGTAAAGGGAACTCATTTAGGACTAAAATAGTTATTTTACCAGATAAGAAATTTATATAGTAATCGTTATATCGTAATTACTTCATGAATGGTTTACCACATCATTACTCAAGAATAATAAAGGCTGGAAAAAGTGATGGGAGAGCAATGCTAATAGACACTTTTGAAAAACAGACGTACTGTTTGAGTGGTTCAAACTTGGCAGTACTGCTGGACTATTAAGTGCACCTATATATAAACCACTCCAGCTAACTGTTAAAACAAGGTACATTTATTCCACATCTAGACCTCACTTGAATATAGACTGCAGGTTATGGAGCTAAACAAAGCCTATATATACAACTGTTTAAACTGGACACGGCATGATGTGATATTGACAAGGCGTGGCTATTTTGACAAGAACGCCCCTACTAAAACTTGGAGTCTATTGAATAAGTCTCCTCAGCTGCATTGCTCTATAGGCAGAAGGCTTTTTTGTTTTCTCTTTGAATAGGGGCTTATAGTTCAAGTTCTGTACTTATTGCAGGTAAAGGGCAGATTTCACAACAATTTTTGTTGCACAGGTGCAGTGTGCTGTCATGGTAATGACAACAGCTTGCATTCTAATACCATACTTACTTCCTTGTTAAAAAAAAAAAAAGCTTTATTTGGCTACAAGGCATGCTTCATCAATCTGTACAGTAGTGCATGTACTACAGTGAGAAACGCAGGCCGTGTTTTTTCAACCTGCCTTATGTCTTCTTATTACAGACATGTTTAATAGTAGTAGGTTTAGCTCTGATCTGATTGGTTTATAGCCTCAGTCTCTCGTGTACTTTTATATTATTTACACATTCAGTCAGAGCTACATCCAGACTGGGTCCACTACAGAGGCCTAATATGGAGCTGGTGAGTTTAGAGGAAACTGCGGACACTTGAATGTAAAGCAGGCCTGTCACTGTTCACACTGAGGAGAGATCTACTCTGGAGTTCGTCAACGACTTCTGGCTTTGTTCAAGTTCAGTGTTAGTCATGACTCATTGTCTTTTTGGTAATTCTGGGCCTAAATGGAATAATTTATCCAACAGACTGTATCAAATATGTAAAGTAGTTGCTTCTGTCTGACAGGATTTTGGTTTTGGCCTGTTTCACTGTCATCTTTGGTTTAAATAAATTTGTGACAATATTTTCTTGATAGATCAGGAATATTATACAATGCGGTTCACAAAATAAGACACATTAATATCTAAATAATTTATACCTGTCAAGAGCATGTATTTAGCCAGAAAAGTCCCAGTTAGATTTCAGAATCTCTTTTTCTCGCCCCCAGAGAGCGAAGAGAGATTCAGGCTAAATGTTATGATACTGTTCAAACAAATCTTTGGTCCTTCCTGATTTACAATTGTTTAATCTGCTTCTCTCTTATTGTGAAGGATTATAACATGACATTGTGGCTTTGTTTAATTTATTTTTTATTTTTTCCTGGGCCTGCTCTTTTTACACTATAGTTATTCACTTCACTGGTTTTATTGTTACCGATTCAACACCTTCTTCCCTGCCGCATCTCTTAGGTCTTGGTTGACCTCTTTCACCTGTCTCACCTGGTCCCCATCGCATGTGTCACCTGGTCTTTGTATGACATGGCAGACCTCTGCCACAGTGAACAGGTGACGGAACGAGAGTACACAGTGTTTGGATTTTTTGCACATAGACTTAAATGGATTCTGACACGCAGGCTCAAACTCACAGGACTCTCTGAACCAAAGAGGTGACGCCAGAATGCAGAAAGACTGGGCTCATTTTGTCACAGTTCAGTGATCAGATATTAAGAGTCGGGCAGGTCATTCAGGTGCATGGTAGAATGGAAATGAATGGCTAGTTGGTCAATTATTTTAACCATGTTTCTGTTTTACTCATTCATTGGTTTCAGTTTCTCAGCTTTTGATCTTATTTAGACCATGTTTCCTACTTGATAATGAAGTTTTTCCTCCAAGTATAATTTTCCGCTGTCAGTTATTCTCCGGAAATTGCTTTTCAAATTGAACTGCATAACTTTTGTTCCACGGAGATGTTATTGTTTTGCCTAGAGTGTCTCACAGTATCATCTTGTACATCCTGAGACAAAGAGATGGCGCCACCAGAACATGTCAGATCTCAGGAATGGGGGCTGAATATTGTCTTTCGGACTTTAGAAACTGTACTTTATTGAGAACAAAAGCTATTTCATGTTTTTTCTTTTTTCCTTTTTCTTTTTTTCAGGGAATTGATTTTAAAAGCATTCTGATTTGGTTAAACCAATTGAAGGCATAAATACATCAATATGCAAACAGAGGAGTTGTGTGGAATTGAAATGTAGTCTTTTCGCTGTTCACATGGCTTCCGTGTTCTCTGAAATGAGATACTAATCACAGTTCTGCCAGTGTATTATAATTGACGCACTACTACTGTATAACGTGCAGCTAAGCCTACAATTCCATTACCAAATTATTTAAATGTGAAAGGTCCCATAATGTCCAATTTGGCAAAAGTTTGAAAATAATTTACATTTTGTAATATGTTCAATCTTATTTCTGCAATTCGTGCAAACTCCTGATTTCAATATTGTTTTTGTATCATCCATTTGTTTGACCTTCACTCTCCTATGTTGCAGTTGTACTACATTCCTTCACTTACAGCCTGTTACTTACAGCATCTGATTGTCTGAGCAGTGTTGTACAGGAGGTCTGAATAATTGACCAGGACACTTGATCTGCTCTGTCTGTAACCGGCTGCACCTTCAGAGAAGCAGCGTCTCAGTGTGGTCTCCTTGTGTTGAATATTTATTCTCACTTGTTGACGTCAAAGCAGGACCTATAGGAACCCCAGTCTGTATCACCTGTAGTGATCGTGTTGTTCTTGGACCAAAGAGAGTTTCGTTTGGCTCATGGCTGTAAGAACAGAGCTGTGGGTCACTGGGTCACCCACGTGGGGCTGGGCTGTTGGAAAAGATTTGAAAATGCATTATTGCAGAGGTGATATGAGTTAGTCTATTTTAAAAGAATTACAAAATATAAAAGATAAAGTTTCTGGTATTAGTATTTGCAATCCTTGAACTTAAACCAAAGTTGGCATCAAATAGTCACCTGGATATTGTTTTAATTTGGCACGTTTCAAATTTTACAAAATGTTGAAGTTTGATGTATCTTGATTTTAATGATTATAATTATTTAAGTAGGCTTATACCAAAAAACATTTATATAGGTACAATATTCTGAAACCTAAGCTAAAGGGGCGTTTAGCATTTTTATTTGGTTGTTTTTAACACATATTTTGCATGGTTAATCATTTTTGAGATAAATTGATTTATTTTTCAGTTTATTTTTATCTCACTACAGTTGAAACAACTGAAAAGGAAAGTGGTTTGAACCTTTTTCTTATCTATGGTTTGTGAATATAAATGAGGGTGCATTCATTGTGTTTTTGATAATTCTAGTACATTTGTCTGTAGTGCAATAATTACAATGTCTATGCGAAAGCACTAATTGTTATTGTTCGTATCGTGGCATAATATGATGTTTTTTCTGTGTCCACAGCTCCACCGCCGAGCAGATTCAACAGACGAGTGTCAGGTGAGTGTTGATTTCACCTGAGTCACTTTGACGTCAGCACTCCACTGAGCCAACTAATGCTTTAGACCTGCTTCACTTCAACCTAGACCTGTTTTTTATTAATGATTTTATGTGCGGTTTATACCAAGTTAAGATCCATTTGATGTGGTTTTTGACTTTAGACCTGGTTTAGGAATTGCAGCTCTGTCTATGGCCTAAGGCTGTGAGAATCAGAGCAAAGTTGAACCCTGTGTTTTCAAACTTAATTTAAGTTTTCAAATGCCATTTAATATGCCCTGGTATTCAACATTTAAAACTGGTTGCAATGTTATTGGTTTAATAAATAACATGGCACGTTTACAAGATTTATTGTTGCGGACAACTAAATTTTTTGTGTACAAATGTTGTGCTTTTTATTTAATTAAAATATTTCATATTTTGCGTCTTTTTTTCTCTTTTTTTGTTAGAAAAATCTGATCTAAAGATGTGGCCGAGGCCACATGAAGATGCAAAAGATCCACACAGGGCTCTTAATTACAAGAATTCAGAAATGTTTTTTAATAAGATGAAGACCACATGTGGTCAGATTTGGGAAAAACAAAAATGTATTTATGAAAGAAAAAAAGTTACCAAACTTTAAGTTAATTTGCTGAAATGCTGAAATCCCAGTCTAAATGTGGCATCAGTTCCAGTTGAATAAATGATCACTGCTGAATACACAGTTGTTTATGATGATCCCGATTCCCCCTGTGCCACATGGGTGTTGGTCAGTGTGGTGGTTTGAGCACGTCTCTCTCCTGGCTCTGGCCTCTCCCTGCATCTGTTTCTCACGCTCTCGATGGCTCCAGTGTAAACACAGTTAATGGTCCCCCTCATTCGTCACATCGCTGTAATAAACTGTTCGACTGTGGGTGTGTCTCTGATGCTAATCGGTGGCACCGAGGCCTGTTATCAGCTTCACAGACTGCGCACATGTACAATTTATCACCGAGTCACTGCAAACAAGAATGCAGACTTTAATCAAATTAGCCTCTGTGTGGTTCACTCCTGATGCCCGTTCTCCTGGTTCTCAAAAGTAAATATACAAGGATAAAATTGCTTTCACAAGTAAAAAATCAAATAGTAACTTACACTTTCTTCTCAGATGATTTGAGGTCTTGGGTCATGCAGGAAAATAATTTAATATTTCAATGATGTGTATTCATTTACAATTAATGCAAATGAATGCATAATTTTGAATGACACCTATGTGGGGATAAAGGTATTGATTATATTTATATTTGAACACCTTAGTTGTATCCATCAATCACATGCCCTTAAGAAGGCCCTATGTGGTCGGAAACACGTTTCCTAGTCCCTGTTCATGACAGGATTTTTTGTTTGTCAATAGTGTCTCAGATTTCCTCCTTTCTCTATTGTTTCCAGTGTTTTCTTCACATGATTCTGATGAGCACCTCACAAAAGTTGACCCACTGAAGCGCTCATCACTCTTGAAGTTATGATATAATAATTATAATGATAATATTGCAAATTTTGTGGAATCAATTCATACAATTCATACAAATAAAAACTGACGTTGTTGAGATTTGCCATGCTTAAAAATCTGATTCTTTCTCACCAAACAAACCAGATAACGTCAGTTAAAGTTGGGGACTTTGTTATATCACGTGATCTTGACGTACGATGCTCTCTTCTCACCACAGCAATAATTCTTTGTTTTATTTTGATCATAACATTAGATTAACTGAAGACAAAACAAATCCGTTTCCTGTTGCCGTCACAAGCAAAGCATTAGCTGCCTGTGAATAGGTTGTAATAGAGAAACTGGACAGACCTGCGCTTATTATGAAAGATCAAAATGCCTATACTTTGTCTCACCCTGGACAAATGTTATGTTAACATCAAGGAGGCCTACATGGCCAGAGCTAAACCCCCGCTTGAAACATCTGACCATAAAACTATCCACCTCATTCCCACATACAAGTCTGTGTTTAAATCAAATAGACCAGTTAGAAAGACTATATACCTCTGGCCAGAGAGTGCATCAGAAGAACTAAAAGGGTGCTTTTTGTGTACCAACTGGAATGTGCTCTTTGATGAGGACATCAACATCACAACGGAGGTCTGTTGTGATGTTGATGTTGATCACTGACTACATTTCATTTTGTCTAAATATAATACCTCCAGAAATATAATGTCAAATATCCAAATGATGAGCCATATCTGACTAGTGAAATTAGAGGATGTATCCAGAACTGGAAATCAGCTTTTAAAGCGCAAAAAATACTAGACAGACAACTGAAGAAGGCCAGGCGACACTATACAGAGTGCGTAGAGCAGAATCTGCAAAGCTCAGATACAAAGAAATTATGGGACTCAATAAGAGAGATGACCAACATGAAGCAAGAAAGGAAACCACTTGTGACATGCAACAAATATGAAAAAGCAAATGAACTAAATGATTTCTTCATGCGTTTTGAAACTGACAATGATACCTATCATAATGTCAATGAGCTAATATGTAAGCATTCCGATAGGATAATTATTGACCTAGAGTCTACTGTTAAAGTGTTCAAGAAGATCTCTGTAAATAAGGCCACAGGACCTGATGGGATGTCTGCCAGACTACCAAGAACATGTGCGGAGGAGCTAGGACCTGTGTGGCAGCAGCTCTTCCAGCTGTCACTAGATGAACATCAAGTGCCGGAATTATGGAAGAAATCCCTCATAGTTCCGGTACCCAAAAAGGCGTATCCCTTAGAGAACGACTATAGACCAGTTGCCATAACCTCGAATGTAGTGAAAGCAATGGAGAGAATTATAACAGCTTTTCTTCGGGAGGACGTAGAACATTTATTGGATCCATATCAATTTGCATATTCAAAGAACAGGAGCACTTCTGACTCCATCTCAACAGTATCACATGTGGTTCTGAATCACTTTCAAGTGTTAAGGCATATGCAAGAGTAGTATTTCAGAATCAGATCAGAATCAGAATAATTTTTATTGCCACGTAAGTAACAGGAAGTCACAGACTTGGAAATTGCTTTGGCTCAGTGCAACAGTCAGAAAGAGATAATAAAAATAAAGAATAAAAAACACTTCTGAGGAATAAATTTAAATTTAAAAGAGAGTTACAGTTACTATTTACAATATACAAGTGCACATGGTGCACACAATGTAAGGTGACAGCAGTACAGTGAAGTAAAGTGACGTATGATGGGCAGTAAAGTGACTTTATAAAGGGCGGGGGGACAGGTTAAGAAGTGTTCAAGAGTCCAACAGCAGAGGGGAAGAAACTGTTCTTGTGGCGGGAGGTTCTAGTCCTGATGGACCGCAGCCTCCTGCCTGAGGGGAGTGGTTGGAATAGTCCATGTGCAGGGTGAGAGGGGTCGGCTGTGATACGACCAGCCCGGCCTCGAGCTCGCGCGACGTATAGGTCCTGCAGCGATGGAAGGCTGCGGCCGATCACTTCCTCTGCAGAGCGCACAATGCGCTGTAGTCTCTGCTTGTCCCTGACTGTGGCTCCAGCGAACCACACGGTGATGGAGGAGGTGAGGATGGACTCGATGATGGCCGTGTAGAACTGCACCAACATCTGTGCAGGCAGCTTGGCTTTCCTGAGCTGCCGCAGGAAGTACATCCTCTGCTGGGCCTTCTTGATGAGGGAGCTGATGGTCGGCTCCCACTTGAGGTCCTGGGTGATGGTGGTGCCCAGGAAACAGAAGGACTCCACAGAGGTGATGGGGGAGTCCTTTTTTACCTTCGCTCAGCATTTAATACGCTCCATATCGACACTCTTGTCCGTAAGATAGTCTGTTTAAATGTAAACAGCTGGCTGATTAAATGGTACTCTTTTTTTTTTTTTTTTTTTAAAGAAAGCACTCTCAAAAGGTGAGGGTCAATTCTGTGTTTTCAAGGGAAACTGTCTGCAGTACAGGAGTGCCCCAGGGTACAGTTAGCTCTTCTCTTTTGTTTACATTATACACAAATGACTGTGTTAGCTTGCAACCCAACCAGTATATTGTCAAATTTTCTGATGACACCGCTTTACTGAGTTTGCTCACAAGCTGCTCTGACATCAGTGGCCACACATCTGCAGTGGACCAGTTCATTAAATGGTGTGATGATCACCACTTACAAGTTAATGTGAACAAGACAAAAGAGATAATTGTAGATCCTCGTTTGATAGGGGACCATAGCAACGTCTTCATTCATTGACAAAAAATTGAGCAGGTTTCATCATATAGGTACCTTGGGGTGGAAATGGACAATGAACTGTGTTGGCACAATCATGTGTCGAATGCAAAGATCCATCAGCGGCTGTACTTTCTTCGTAGGCTTAGAGTATTTGGAGTGAGCCAAAAAGTTATGTTGACCTTTTATAGAGCGAGTTTTGAATCTATAATGAGATACGGAATTGTGAGTTGGTTTGGTAACCCCACAGTGAAATGCAAATCACAGATCCAGAGGCTGAAAAACTAGCCTGGAAGATCATGGGAGTGTCGCTGTCCACTCTAATCTCACCTCAGACTATTTTTGAGCAGTCAGTGATTAGACAGGCCAAGAACATCATCAGAGACTCCACTCATGTTCTCTACTCACAATACGAACTGCTGCATTCTGGGAGGAGGTACAGGACCCCACTGCGCAGAAGCAATAGGTTTAAGAACTCTTTTGTACCTCAGTCCATTCGGCTGTTGAATAACATCAGGTGATTGTGCATTAGTGTCAACGAATGTTGTGTGTCTGTTTTTGTGTGTATTGTCTGTTTTGTGTGTATTGTCTGTTTTGTGTGTATTGTCTTTTTTTTTTGTAAGTCTGTATCTGTGGGTGCTACTGACCCCCCCTGCTCAATGACACATTTCTCCCTCGGGAGACAACGTAATTAATTAATATGAATCTGATGAATCTGAAAAAGACAAAATGATAGATACTTGATTGATTGATCTGCAAAATTAGTTTCAACTCTTGTTTTAATCTCAAATGAATATCCAGAGTCAAATGCTAAAAGTTAATGGGGTTAATTCATTCATTTGTTTGTTTATTTATACAAATCAAAGCAATTACATATCTTGACCAAAACTGTTGGCCTGAAGTCTGTCCCTTTTCTTTTTTTTTTGCCACAATAGCTAATTCGAAGTTGCACAAGTTAATTTATAGCTGAAAAAAAACATTGCAATACAGGTACACAGTTTACAAGTTTCACCCAAATTGCATCATTTAAATGTAGGACCGTGTCACTGCTGTTGTCCTGTTTGTTAATGTCACGAGGCAGCTCATAGTTGCTGAAGACCGTATCCGATGCTATCTCTGCTGAAGGATTGTGAAAGGGGACTTCCTCGTATTGACTTGAATGCAAAGCTTCAACATACCACTGCCCCGTCATGTGCACATCACACAGGGCAGACGGTCCAACAAAAGTCAGCAGATTCAACCACTAAGCGCTCACCACCGCGGCCCAGTGGAGCTGTGTTAGCGCTAGTGCTTCACAGCAAGAGGGTCCTGGGTTCCATTCAATCTCCAGACAGGGCCATTCTGTGTGGTTTGCATGGTCTCCCCTGTGTCAGTGTTGGTTTCCTCCGTCTGCTCAGTCTGCTCCGGTTTCCCCTACTCCTAGAAACATGTACAATAGGTCTGAATGTAAAATTAGTGAGTGAAAGAGTGCTCAGCGTCTCACTTCTGTCCCCACTGTGTGTGCAGTGAATGGAAAATATTGGTTCTCCAAAACATTGTAAATCACTTTGTGTGCCTTTTGGTCTATAAAGGTTGCATACAAAATAAAAGAAACAGCACTGCTTTGTCCATTTGTGGTGTCACCAGCATAGAATGTAAACCATGGATGAACCAAAATGGTGTGGAATAATAAATCCTTGTGCAGTGATTGGGAGTCCAATGCTGATATCAAATTTTTGTAGTTTATCAAATTGCACAATTTGGGCATAAGACATGAATCAAAATACAATCCAAAAACATTCCGTTATTGTCTAATATAGGTGCACAGGCATGTTGACACTTGAAAATGAGGCGTGCCTGCTATACTGTCACTTGAAAACGGAAAATGACTTAATGTACACTTTAAAACGTTAAACTGAAGTATCATGTCAGTACTGACAATCCATTTATTAAATTTGATCCATTCCACCTCAATCCACATTTTAAACAGCTGATTGGGGCACAGTCTTCTTCAGCTGAGGCCGAGTTTCTGTGCTTTTATTTTAGTCTTGTAGCATTGTGCCCGTGTGTTTCTATGGATTCCCACTTGTGCTCTGTCTGCAAAATAAGTTATTTGCGAATAAAACAAATATTTGAATTGAATAGAACTGAATCTAATTGAAACAAATCAAATCCTAGAAGGACCTACACACTGCATAATGTCCTCTTTATTGAAAGGATTAAACTTTGAAACATTTTGCCTCTAAAGGTAGAGGTCGTAACGCTCTCCCTTTTTGCAGTGTGTGCAGAGGCGTTTAACCCAGACGAGGACGATGAGGACACCGAGCCCCGAGTCGTCCACCCCAAAACAGACGAGCAGCGGTGCAGACTCCAGGATGCCTGCAGAGACATCCTCTTGTTCAAAACATTAGACCAGGTAAACAGATATGTATATTTCACATTTGATGAACATCTTTGACTTGAGCTCCCCTTCTCTGCTCTAAATGTTTCTGTGCTGTGTTCAGCTTCTCTCTGAGCCCTTAGATCTGCAGACTCTTCCTGCTGCTCTTAAGTCAACCTTGTCTTTTCACTGGTCTCTCTCTAGACCAGTTAAAAAAACAACTGAAAACACACTTTACATTGGATTTTACTAATATGGTGATCTGATATTATTGATTTTATGTGTCATACAGAGACACATTTTACATTATTTGAAAGTACCACCATTTTTATTTATTGCTTGTTCTGCACTTTGGTCATCTTGGATTGTTTTCAATCTTAATTATTACATTTGACATCGACATGGCTTTTGTGATCCCCAATGTAGAGAAAGCCACAAGACAATTGCATTGACCAAAAGGAAATTAATTGGGATAGCTTTCAAGGGAATTTTTCAAAGGTTGGACCAGCACTTTAAATCTCTAATATTATTATAATGCATTACATTTTTATATCTCCCTGAGGGTTGTGCTGGGAAGCGCCTCCAGACTAAATGGTTTTATATTCCCTTAGGCACAGTCTATCTCTGCTGGGTATTTAATGAAAGCCGTTCTTTGATTAAAATAACACTTACTTATAAAGGTTATTATTTAATTAACCAGAGTGTGTTTAAACCTTTCCTCTTCTTCTTTGCTTCAGGAGCAGTTTTCTCAAGTGTTGGATGCCATGTTTGAACTGATCGTTCAGCCTCGGGATCATGTGATCGATCAGGGACATGACGGTGACAACTTCTACGTCATAGAGAGGTGAGGCTACAAGTTTGTTTATTCATAAAATTGGCATGTTGCATTGCTAACAATAAAAGATAATTGTTGTAATCACTGCAATCTTATATTTAATGCACACTCTTCTGGGGACGGTCCAAAACCGATTAGCAAGTCTATTTCTCTTTTGTCTGTGTTCTTATCTTTATGACTTGTTTGAACGAAAATAATATACTGTATATGAAGCCTGTACATGGTGTTGTTGACAGAGACAGAGGCTGCTGTCTCACGTCCGCACAATGAATGTCACTGGATCTTTATGGCTTCTGCACATGTTATTAACCCCTTACAATGTTCCAGATGCAACTGGATTTTACCATTATCAGCCAATTGATACCTTTTAACATCTCTGGAAATATGAAATTTAAATGTGGTTTTCTTATTTAGAGTTAAATCAGACCTTAATAGCTCAAGAAATGGCAAAATAATTTAAAATGGATTTTACATGGGTCCCGTTTAGAGCTTTCTGCTGTGATGCAAGTCCCCAATTCTCATTTCCAGTGACATTTGCCACAGCTGTGAAAAGGGAATTGTTGAACCCCAATTTTTCTTGTTCTACTGTCAAATAGATCCAATCTCCAGGCACCTGCTGTACAGAGTTTATCGTTACCATGGGGATATGTAGGTGGACTTTGATCTTTCTCCGTGCAGAGACTGTTCCCACTTGTAATTAAAGTAAATGAGTCATCAGAGGCTAAAACTACATGGCCTCAGCTTCTCAAAGAGTCCAGCCATTTTTTATTTATTTTTTGCTCCAAAGAGTTATCCGACAGATTTGGTAAAGTGAAGGTTGTCATAACCCGGCTCAATAGAAATGACAGAAACACGCCAAACAACAGTTGCCAATTGAAATAATATTTATTAATAAGCAAAGTTAATATTTTAATGAGGTGTGGAAGTCTGTAATGAGTGCGTGTTAGTGTATGTGCTGTGAGCGTATGTCTGCAGTGTTGAATGGTGTGTAGAAAATAAACCAAAACGAACCAAGACGAACAAACCAAAACGAACCAAGCAACCAAACCAAACCAAAACCATACAAAAGGAGGCGGGACACGCAGGTGTCAAGATGGGAGCAGGATGAGCCAACCACCATCTCTGGCATGTGCACGAGCTTTAAAGGCGCGGCTCCGCGTGTCACGCACACGCACCAATGAGCACAGCTTCCACCTGAGAGAGGAGGATATACGGCGCGTCAGTGGCGTATATCCCCCCCCCCCCCATAAACACGAGAATTCTCCCCAAAGAATTTTCGTTCAAACTAGCGCACAACAACGAGTGCAAAACGAACACCACCCAGAAGAATGCGCCCACTTCGCAGCCTCCACCAGGCTCCACAGCTTCGGAGCCCAAAGGGGAAGAAGAGGAAGACTTGCACTGAGCCCCCAGCACTCCATCCTCAGGTTCCTGCACAGAAAGAGCGGCAACAGCCCGAACAGGGTGCACATAATCCTTAATAAAATACTCCTTTGGCCAACTCTCTCTGTGTGCCTCCGACACAGACACATCAAAGGACCTCACCACAGTGTCAGCATCCTCACACGCTTGAACTAACCCTGCGTCAGCCACATCTAACTCTGCACCATGACTGGCCCGCGTCACCGCGCAGGCATGGAACACGTCTGGCTGCAACGACAGTGCACGTAGGAACAGTAGGACCCAATGTACCCACAAGTGGGTTAGCTGGCACCTCCCCAACGACAGCATCCACAGTCTCCCCACCACCAGAGTCTGTGTCAGCCCAGACACGACCACCAACCAACCCATTCACCAAAATAATATGAATCCCATCTATGGGCAACGCTGGACGCACACCTCCCCTCGCAGCAGCTCACACTCCAGACACATCCTGTGCAACGGAATGGGCAACACGGCCATGCCCATGCCACGGCTCAATACGAAGTCTCCCGTAGCGGTCTCTGCGGAGAAAGGCAACACTGAACCGACCACGAACGAGTCATACGCCCCTGTATCCCGCAGGATTTTAACTGGCACTTTATCTCTCCCAGGCAGAGTTACAGAGCCCTCACGAATGAACGGTGAATAAGATGCAAACACCCCAGACCCACAATGAACTGGAGCCGCGAACGCAGCAGGCTTAACATATGAACTGGACATGTTACTCCTGGACCTCAACACCGGACATTCAGCCTTCCAATGGCCCTCCTCATGACAATAATTACACATTTCACTCCCATCTCGCTGATTGACAGACACTCGCATGAAATCAGGACCACGCGTGACATCATCGACCGGTCCTCTGTGAATTAATACATAATCATCTGCAAGCGCAGCTGCTGAACTTGCAGTTTCAGCCTTCTGCTCACAAATATAAGTCGTCACAGGTTTTGGCATAGAATTTTTCAATTGCTCCAAAACAATTCGGGCGTTCTGCTCTCCCAAAATTCCATCCGATGGGCGGGGGAGCGACTGAATTTTGCGTTGCATTATGGGTAACACTTGCCTTCGCAACTTCCGGTTCTCTCTGCCCGGCGCATTTTCTCTAAATGGTTGAGTGTTTTCGTCATTTTCTGTATGCAAATACATTCCCGTCTCTAACTAGTGGCATATCGCGCAAATCATCCGTCCAATTCACATTCTTCCCTCTTAGCTGAACTTCATTCTCATTGTTACCATCTGTCACTCGCACACACAGCCGTTTTCGTTCACTCTGCTCGTTGTCATCTTCTTCTAAATCTTCATAAACACCATCCGCTCGTTGAACTAGCAACAACAATTCCTCCTTTCGTTTTCCCACACTGCAAATACCCTTTCGCTTCAACCTTTCACGCAATTCAGGCACTGTCAATCGTTTGTTGTTTTCGTGAACCATATTCGCCATTGTATGAAATCAACGGGAAGTGAACTGGGCAACAAACGGTGTCATTTTTTGATCACAGCGCCGCTCAGTGGATGAAATTTTGGGAGAGCAGAACGCCCGAATTAACTCACTCAACCTCTCAAAATCGGTGACTTTGGATGCTGCACACCAGCGAGAAAAATGAGTCTTCAAATCCCGCGTGAACTCCAAATAACTCTGACCCCAGGGTTTTTTACTAGATCGAAAGCGCTGCCTGTAGGCTTCTGGCACCAACTCGTACGCCTTCAGAACTGCGGCCTTCACCAAATCATAATCCTGACTGTCTGACACAGACAGCACAGACAAGGCCTCTTGAGCGCGGCCCACCAAAACACACTGTAAAAGCATTGTGCGCTCCGAATTGTTCCAACCCCGCGCTATAGCCAAGCGCTCAAAAATATGGAAAAACAAATCCGGATCATTTTCCGAAAATTTTGGTAGCAAACGCAAATTCCCAACTACATCAAACGCAGCGTCAGAGCCAACAGACTGCAGAGTGGAGGAGTGAGGCTCCTCCTGCCGCCTTTTAATCTGCTCTAACTTCACACGCTCTATTTCAAATTGTAACTCTAACAATCTGAGTTGCTGCTCATAAGTGAGAGCTTGCGTCACCGCTGCACCAGGATTAGCAGAACCAGAGGCCTCACCTGTGGCACCTGGAGACATAGTGGCCCCTGGCCTGTCCTTCAACACACCGAGGTTAATCAAATTCGCCACCAATATCGATCTCAAATTTTCCTTTAATCGTTTAATGTCCAGATCCAGATCATATCTATTTCCAATGTCAATAAGTTGTTCCTTAGTGCATTGGAACAAAAACTCCTCAGAGGGAGCATCAAAAAAGTCAGAGATATTCACCATCCTTCTGTAATTCCCTACCCAGTCCCGCAAAAATCAACGTGAGCTAAAGTGCCCAAAGCAAACACACACCCACAAAGATCCACAGCTGACCAAATGTCCCGCTAAACCTAGACTCAACCCTGATCTTCACACGGTTCTGCGGCGGGGTTTTAAGCACTCCAAGGGGAGACCAGTGTGACCACGGTTTGTGCACCCGAGAACACCAACCGCTCCCCGCAACTTAAACAAAAAAAACAAAAAAAATACGCAGCCAAAAGAGCCACGTCCCTGTGCCTACCCGGGACACCGGTCAAAGTGTCACCACTGGATCTAGGTGCTAAATAGACACTTCACTCACCTTGATCTGCTGAACACGGGCCAAACTCATCCTTCCAACTCCCAGCAAAAAAAAAAAAAAACGTGCCTCTCCCGCATCCACACACACAGGCGTCTCGGAGAGACCACCCACAGCGTCCCAGCGCCACCGAGGGAGACTCCGCTCTCAAGCCACCCAACGCCAGAGCGCTCCGGACTGCAAACACCGGGCAGGACACAAAACCAAAGAACAAAAAACAAGCAAACAAATTACCATCTAATAGTTTTGACGAGCCCCCATTCTGTCATAACCCGGCTCAATAGAAATGACAGAAATACGCCAAACAGTTGCCAATTGAAATAATATTTATTAATAAGCAAAGTTAATATTTTAATGAGGTGTGGAAGTCTGTAATGAGTGCGTGTTAGTGTATGTGCTGTGAGCGTATGTCTGCAGTGTTGAATGGTGTGTAGAAAATAAACCAAAACGAACCAAGACGAACGAACCAAAACGAACCAAGCAACCAAACCAAACCAAACCAAAACCATACAAAAGGAGGCGGGACACGCAGGTGTCAAGATAGGAGCAGGATGAGCCAACCACCATCTCTGGCATGTGCACGAGCTTTAAAGGCGCGGCTACGCGTGTCACGCACGCGCACCAATGAGCACAGCTTCCACTTGAGAGAGGAGGATATACGGTCCGTCAGTGGCCGTAACAAGGTATAGACAAGTTTTTTGTTGTTGTCTGTACCAGTTTTTTTGTCTGATAAATTATTTTCTGCTATAACATCCGTTGATCATTACATGTATTAAAATTAATAAAAGTCTGTTTTCTGTACCATTTCCCATTCTGATCCATACACATCCTCTCTGTGTTCAGGGGCGTGTACGACATCGAGGTTTCGGGGAATGTGGTGGGACAGTACAACAACAAGGGCAGCTTCGGAGAGTTGGCGCTAATGTACAACACGCCCAGAGCCGCCACTATCATTGCCACTGAGGAGGGGGCGCTCTGGGGACTGGTGAGAATCTTTCTATATGTTCAATATTCCAGTACCAGGGCAAGTCCCCAAGCACATGAGTCCTTCAGCACATGATTCCTTCAGCTATGAGCTACTAATACACTATTCGGTTATTATTATAGAGATCCATGATGTTTCCTAACTGTCTCATTTTTTTCAATGGTGAATTATTATTTTAGAAAACATCTGCTTTTAGGGCCCCGTCCACACGTAGCCGGGTATCTGCTAAGCCGCAGATATGTTTCTTCGTTTGCACCTGTCATCCACATGACAACGCACCAAAAATGAATATGTAAAAAAAAACTCCGGGCAAAGTGGAGATTTTTGATAACTCTGTTTATGCATTTGCGTGTAGACAGAGATAACCGGAGTTTCTCGTTTTTTCACGTCACAGTATGCTCCAAAACAACAAACAAAACGTGCGACCTCTGATCACTGAAGAAGCATGGATCTTACTGCCTTAAAAACTGTTCTCTGCTGCGAGCGGTTCCCAGCAGCGATCCTCACTCTACATCATAGAGCAGCAAAATGATCAGGAGACACACGCTCGAAAACAACCAAAACAGGAGCTAAATCAGGATTAAACCAGGGCTGAGGACGGGGGTCAGTGCTTGTAAACATATGTCTTTACCCTGACTTTCTTCTATGAATGTAAAAGTGACGCTACAGAAGTACCGGCATCCGCATCTAAGCTCCACCCACTTCTGTGTTTTTCATTGTGTTTTCATTCACCAAGGGAGACTTAAATCCATAATTAATCATTTTCAAACCTCAAAAGACAAAAAATATCCAATCATTCCAATTTTGGTTCCATTACTAGTATTTCAAAGCTTTTTCAGACAAAAAAGGGCAAAAGTTAGTACTCACTCGCCCAGCTTCATCTTAAGTATGCAAATTATAGGGTTTTCCCATAGATTCAGACATGCTGTGATCTGATTTGATCAGTGGTACTCCTGTTTGAACATATACAACATGTTAGACACAAAGTATGAAATTATTGGTTTTCATGCTCAAAATACTTTAATATATATGAATAATCTCTCATTTGCAATCTCTGCTGAAATTAAGAAATCAGATTTGTCTAACCTTTCTTTACATTTGTTTTACTTTGCTTGCACAATTTTATTTGTAAGTTCTAACTGTGTAACTTGTTTCACAGTGTCCATATATTCAAACCTTTTTTAATAAGAATGAAGGTTTTCTCTCAATGAACCGCTGCTTCGACTCTTACCTCAGTCTGCCCCCTGGTGGACATTACTGACCTATTACATTTAAAATTTTGATTGTAGCAACTCTGTTGGACAATTTATCACATTCAAATCTCAAGTGGCAAATCGTAAAAATAAATGTGTGTATATATTTCCTTTTCAAACGGCGAATGATCACATTGCATATTAATTCAATTTGGGTATTACAGTATTTAGAGTTCTGAAACAAGCTTTTTAGCACAGGGAATACTGCAAATTTCTGCAAATAAGTCTAAGCTATTAGAAAGTTAAATGTTATCTTAATCTTGATGCATTGGACGGTTTTATCTGCTAATGAAAAGGCTAGTTTTAAAGATGTCAACAATTTAAATGGTATTTCATTCATTTCTTACTGTCTTGCACTGTCCTATTATGTACAGTAAGAATTTTTCAACAATTATGTATTTAACGCTGCATAACTTTGACCAATAATATTTGCTGGAGAACGGTTACACCAATAACAAGAAGCCTCAAGGATTTGAATTAATTTCAACCAATCAGGAAGCTGCAGGAGTGAGCATGGGCAGGTTGTAAAAAGTTTCACTCTTCACCATTTCAAAAGTAACCGACTTCCACTTCTGGCACTGCAGGATTTTAAGTGAGAAAGAAATAAATCTTCCCATAAGTTCAGTTTTCCCACATACTTGAATTGTATAGTACATTTTAAACATTATAGCTTCATAACAGAAATCGCAAATCAAATCCGAATTTCAGTGGTTTGCTGTGAGACCACAGTTAACCATTGAACCACAACAATGTGTTGAATACTGTAGGTATGTGCTGTCAGGGACCGTTTTGAGCACAAGATAAGTTTATATTATTCATAATATTGCTGCTGCTTTTCTCTAGGATCGAGCCACATTTCGACGACTCATTCTCAAAAACAACGCCAAGAAGAGGAGGATGTACGAGACTTTTATAGAATCTGTTCCGCTGCTTAAATCTCTCGAGGTTTGTCTCTGAAAAAGAGGAATTCTAATTGAGCCCACTACATATTCTAACATCTGTCTGTGCTTTTAAGGCGAACGAAAGGATGAAGATTGTGGACGTATTAGGAGCTAAGCAGTTTTCTAATGCAGAGAGAATCATCACACAAGTACGGCTGCTTATTCTCACTTGTATATTGTTTAAAGGGGAAATGGCAGAACTAGTTTTTCACATCAATAGATCATGTTACAGCTGTTTTCTCTCTGGTTCACGCTCAAAGGGGTTTATAGAGGTGTTTGTGCAGACAGGATTCTTTTTTTCTTTCATTACCTGCAATAGGCACTTTTTTTTAAAAAGACCCCTTTGTACTAATCCGTGTTTTCGTTCTTATGTTCATATATTGTTCACATCTTCCAAATATATCTCCTGACAGCGAGCCGATCACATGCCGTCTGTCCCTGTCGAGTAGCACAAGCACAGTCCAGGGCCGCTCCTGATTGGCCTGTTTGTTGTCATTTCTACCCAAGACGCACTTGTAAAAAAGACTGTTTAGTATATTTTAATTGGCTTCCTCCATAATAAGACAAACCTCATCTTCCAGTACGACTACAAAAGATACAGAGGTTTGCACCGTCACCTCAGTGTCAACAATAAAAGCTGTGTGGACCACCTCTCTACTTTTTAAACTTGACATTGGCACTCTGGTAGTCCAGTCCTTCTACAGTCTGGGTTTTACTGAATACAGAAGTGCTCCAACCATTTTCTTTTACAATGTCTATGCCTGCCATTAAATATTTAATTATTTCACTTTAATCCTTACATGAGACCCAGTTTAGAACATGTTTATGCCTCAGTCCTTAATTAGTATGTTTTCCTTTTTTCTTCTCCTGGTGCAATCAAAGCCATTGTTATTGTGTTAGAGTACATGATTTTAATTTATATTTTTTTTTCCAGGGGGACAAAGCAGACTGTTTCTATATTGTAGAATCTGGAGATGTCAAGATTATGATGAAGAGTAAAGTAAGAAAAAAATATTGCAACATTACACTTGTACAATGTACACTCTGAATATAATTTTTTTTGCTAAAACGTCCTCAGTGGCTGAGATGTAATAGATTTGTATTGAATTCATTCTTCATTTTTAAACATGCATCTCAAATTTTAGTCATTGTAATGTTTGCATGAAAAATCTCTTCCATATTTTGCCAAAATATGGAAGCGCTAATGTCCACTGCCAAAATTGGGCCATCTTTACTAATGTTTTTGCTGTCACATCTTCGACTGTGAATGAAATCTCCCAAACATGATCCCATTGAGGACAAACCAAGCGCTTGCAGTGATGCCTGTCTCTCCCACAGACGAAGGCGGACCACGCGGATAACGCAGAGGTGGAGATTGCCCGCTGCAGTAGGGGGCAGTATTTTGGCGAGTTGGCTCTTGTCACCAACAAACCCAGAGCCGCCTCAGCGTACGCGGAGGGAGACGTCAAGTGTTTAGGTGAGGATGTGGAGACGCAGGGGTAAGAACTGGTGCTGTACTTATTGCAGACAGTAGACCTTATTTAGAAAAACATAATAAAAAGTAAAATAAGCAATATGTTTGTAAACTTTCAAATAAGAATTTCTGATTTTTTTCTTGATAGATATACATATAGTGTTCTTTTCAAATCAGCTTAATCACGATAAAAGTTAACCAACTGTGTGCTAAATTGTGTCTGTAAACTGCCTGTTGTCTTCATCAAACCAGTTTACAGCCATGATAGAAAATCGGCACCTCTAAATCCAAGCCAATGTCCAGTTCAGTGGGGTCCTGGGTCCATTTGAGACACTGTACCCACGACATGTCCGGTCCCTCAGGTGGCTTCGGAACGGAAAGAAAGCAATGGATGGTTTGTTAGTCTATGTGCAGTCCTATTCAAATGAACCATATTTACAACTTTCAAATATTTATTTTTTTAATCGAAAAAAGAAATTGATGGATGGATTTTTTTATTTATTGTATTTCTTTTTAATAGAAATTCATTGATAAAATCAGACTCAGAAAACTGTTGTGAATCTAAAGGGATGATTCAATTGTTTAGTAAATCAATGAAACCATGAATGCACCATGTCAGAATGTATGTATGGCGAGTAGCAGAGGGATTTTATCTGTGCACCAATAAACTAAAGGTACCGAAGAGAGAAAGCATCTATTAACATCATTTTGGTGAAATGTCACCCACATGCAGGGAAATCATGATGATGACGACGCTGTTGTTGTTGTTGTTGGATAAACTCGTGCATTTCCTGATGGGGGTGTTGTGTGTTTCTGTAAAGTCTAGTGTCCTTTGTATTTACGCAATGCTCTTCAATTACTCTCATTCTGAGCCGCTCTCCATTCATTGTGAAGCACTCCACAATAGTGTATTCAAATTATCTGTATCCTCCACACAGACAAAGCAGTTGCCGTTATTCATTTACAAATCGACTGATTATAAATGTGTTTTTTAAGTTTGTTTTGAGGTTTACAGGTTATCAAAAACAAATGGGACAACAGTAATGCACCTGCTAATAGGAGGAGGAGTTTATGGTTATTTCAACTGATTTAATGTCAAATTAGTCTGGTGAATGAGTATCATCATGGAAGCTAACGTTAAAGAGCGACTAAACACCTGTGCCCAGCCTTTGAACATTTTCTCTAAAAAGGGCGTTGCCTGGAGGACCAGGGGACAAGAATATTGCTGCTTAAAGCAATAGCTTACACACCAGAAAGTCTCATTTCCCCCCTTGTTTACACACTAAGATAATTGTAGAACTACACACCTGAACCTAAGCCACAGAATTATCTCAGCAGCAGTGGCGGTCAATTGATGTAATTTAGCATTAATCCACTAGATTTCACCAGAATACTCCGAGCTGCTCCTGGGGCGTGTGTGAGAGTTGGATAGGTTTATATCACTGGCGCAGAGAAACGCACGTTGCACAGTACCAACTGACGTCACACAGTATTACAGAGCCAACGGAGAGGCCAGGTGCACAATTCAAATGTAGTGCCACCAAAAAGGTAGAGAGGGCGCCACACAAACGGTTTTAGGCTCATATGTGAGATTTTATCTAATTTGTTCTAAAACTTCAAAGAATTACCAGGACATGTAGAGAGCACCATAAGAAACGTATGTATTCAGTTTATGAGTTAAAAAAGTTTATTTGGTGTTTAGCTGTCCTTTAAGCTGTTAAACTAATTGTTAAATCATAACGTGACCAGTTAAAACAGTCACCTGTCTGCTACATTACAACATGAAAACCTGCGGCTTAAAGTAGCCACATGCAAGATTTTCATGTCAAGTCATCATTAAATGTCCTTAATATGTCAAAAGGCATTAATAAACCATGCTCTTTTCAAATACTTCTGTAACTGATAACAGTAGTTCAGCCGAGATAGTTTAATTTCAAAATTAGTTTTACAGACCCTAAAACTTGTTATTTTTATTTTGACGTCCCGCCCTGCAACGTTTCACCAATCAGAAAGTCCGTTATCAGGTATATAGATTTGTGACCAAACTCTTGTCTATTCAGATATTATGGTCCCAGCTGGATTCGTCTGCATATCTGGTAACATGAGTCAGGCAAAGTGGGAGAGGTTACAGTACCTTTTTTGGACAGATTTCTTTTCATATTGCTCCTTTAAATTGAAGTGCTGTCTATATATGAACAAAATGTATTTTATTTTCAAATGTTGCTGATGCTGCTTATATAGAGGTGCGCTTAATAGTCCAGAAAGTACTGTAATCGATTTGTCAAAAGAATAATCGCAAAGATTAAAGTTGAATACGTCACCAGTACCACACACTTGTTGTATCATCACTGAGAACTAAAGCATCAATATAATCTCACCTGTGTTTGTGTGGGAAAACAGCTTTCAACTGTGATTATATCAATTCAAAACCAAATGCCTCTCCTTGATTCCCAGCTTTCACCATTCTTTAAGTGCTTTGCCCCTTCACTTTCACTCCTACCCTGTCATACAGTAATAACAGAATCTAAATCTTTAGTCCTCCAGCAATAACACCTTCTCCTGGTGTGTGTTTGCAGTAATCGACGTGCAGGCCTTCGAGCGCCTGCTGGGCTCGTGTAAAGAGATCATGAAGAGGAACATCACGCACTACGAGGAACAGCTGGTGGCGCTGTTCGGCTCCAGTATGGACCTGAGGGACTGAGATGTCCGCCCACGTGCCTTCAAACCACACCCACATTCAGTATCAGAGACACAGACACGCACAAATACACACACATGCATTAGGGATGGGACAAGACCTTGGAGGATTACGTATCCACTATCATGTGCACTCGTATGAATAGGATGTCTCAAGCTTGTGGTTTCATTTGGCCCAGACAATAAAATGGGTTAAACGCTTTGGTGAGTTGCACATAGTAGTCGTCGTGGTAGGAGTTCCAAAAAGTAACAATATTAAATGTGATCATGTATTGTGCTTTCCATTCTATTTCTCTGAAGATTAACAGTAACGCATATTAACACAAGCCATTGCAATTTCTCCCTCCAAGACATTTTTTTTTTCTTTTCTCGTTGTGTTCTTGTGGACTCACTTTCATGGCTCGTTCAGGGAAAGGTTTTGTCTCATCCCTAATTTAAGCACACACAGAAAGCAACACTCCGGATCAATACAAGCTTTTAACCAGCGGTTCTCAAACGTTTTACCCAAAGAACCACTGAGACTTATGGTGGTAAGCAAAGAGAGTGCAGAGCCTGGACCAGGACAGAAAGCAGGTCTACATACCAGTTAATACACCAAGCTAATGACGACTGCGCCAAAACCTCGGCTAAATTCAGGTGTTAAACTGCCTGAATCTTGAACTGGATAAAAACAAAATTTAGCATAAAAGGACAGGTTATGAATTTTGCTTTTTTGCGCCTCAACTAACAAGGACTCCAGTATTTATTTTAGCCTTTCAAGTCTCAAAAGTCCAAATAAGGGATGAGTAGAGAGGGTCAGGGGGCTAGAGAGGTGTGAAGCCAATTTGTCGCAAAAATTGTGGGATATCTGAAAGGCAGTATTTCCAAAGTGCTCAGGAAGACGAGGTGCAAACAATACCAGTTATGTCTTGAGTGAACAATGTCGTAACGTGAGTAGAGGCTTAAAGTAAATTTCTCTTACACCACGTCCTTTAACTAAGCAAAGAGGAAGTTTTCGATGTGCCACAGTTTGAGAACCACTGTTGACCAGACGAGCTCCATCGACACAGAACAAGTGATGGCTGTAATGTTCTGACCGGGCAAGTATTGTTCAAATGCTGTCTGTTCACGTTATTTATGGTCAAAGTATGTTGTGACTCAAAAAACTGGGTTCCTTTTGGGTCTTTGGAAGGTTTCAAGTGAACTTTTTGACACCTACAGTTTGCAGAAGTTGCTGGTCAGTCATGTCATGTTAAAAAACAAAGAGCAATATTTGTGGAATTAGAAATGTACCCTCACAATGCACAATAAACTGGGTTATTTCGGATCGGTGGGATTGAAAGGATCAGCGCAACAGTTTTGAATACAGCAAATGATCAAGCAGATATTTAGACAGATCAAACTCTGGAATCGTACTTACAGAGCCTACGCGCACACACACGCAAACATGCACACCCGCACATACAGTACAATAACCACATGCAAAAACTGACCCAGAGTAGTCCTGTTGTTTTAAAGACTGTATAAGACACTTTATGCGGCGACATTGGAATCAAGACGACCAAAATGTATCTATCTTCATCACACCAATATCTTTGTGTGTGAGAAAAGTAGTTTGTCAATATCAAAATGTTTTCAGATATGTACGAACGTAAAACAATTATAGTTCTACACGTACTAAAATTGTACTTTCGTTTGATGCGGGTCACTGTGGCGGAGAGGCTTTCCTGTCATAAACCTGCTCAAAGAAAAGTATGAATTATTTTGGTTTAGATTGTCTCATAAAGTGTATCCAGTCTTCACTACAACATTATTCACAATGGAGCAAACAAAGAGGTAAAAAAATAACAGAAAAATATCTTAAAGAGATGTTTTAGAAACGTTTTATGAAGATTTAAAAAGTATAAATAAAATACAAAAAAAAGCTTTGATAAAATATTATTTAAATAAAGTGTTTCCCAGAGGCTCTGTTTCTTCCTCTTCTGTCGTTGATTGAGTTAGTGCTGGTGAATCTCGTACCACACTTCACTGTATTCAAATTATTATTAATGTATTGTTCATATATTATATTAATTTGTTTTATTTTTGTTTATTTACATTGTTTTTTCTTTGTTGATGGAGATGCTGCCATCCATCTCCAACACCGTGTAAGATCTAATGAACTTAGTGCTACATTCTTCTTGATTCTCCTCAGATGAGTTTGTCCTGGATTTAAAAAGAAAATAAAGCTGAAATTTTCTTAAACAAAAGAGTGGTTTTTTAATGGTTTTTATGGATCATTGTTAATTGTTTGCGATGAAAGGAGAAATGTCACTCAATATGTTTTAACCTAATAAAAGAGGGTTAGGGGTATTTAGAGAATATTTGAAAGTATTAGTAGTTGTATATTCCATGCGTGTGTCCATGTTTCCAACTTCAAACTCCCATGCTTTTGTCCCATCATTATAATCAGCATTAGATGAGATATAGTTAAGTTATAGTTTGTCTTTTGTCATGAACAATCAGAATCACAATTATTTTCGCTGCCATTAAGTCACAGGAAATAACCTACCAGTACATGTTGTGTTCACTGCATTCTCTTGGCAGGATCTGGCTTTCACATGCAGGTGGTGCCGCTACATCAAAAACATTCTTTAAAAGGGTCAAAATTACCAAATTATTCAGCAGCAACTCAAATCTCTTCATTGTTTGGTAGGAATAGGAAGCTCGTTAAAAAACATAGAAGGAATTGGATATTTGAATATTTATGGGTTTTTGTTGGTTAATTTTGTGACTTTAACCAGTGAGTATTTGAACAAAAAGGCACTGTGTTAGTGTAGTTTGTTGTGAGGCTGCAGTTCCACTCCAGTCCACCGGGAGTGTCGTCGCTCTGTCTCCCCTCAGCTGTTCGTCCATGGCTGTCACAAATGTTGCCGTCAGTCCTGTTTGTGGAGATCATGATCATGTGGAGAAGGTTCTTTTTCCACTTTTACTGTAATTTTAACAGAGATCTTTGACAGTTTTGTTGATGATGTAGCTCCAGCTCGGACGGCAGGACACTGGGACCAGCGCCTCCGAGTTAATGATGTGAGTAAGAGGAAAACACAACAGAAGCTTTGGATCTGTCTCGTTCATTCATAAAAAGTTCAGATTGTGAACAGTATAAAAGGACAGAGGATGTGCCATCGCTCTTTCAGAAGGCTCCGACAAGGACATTATAATAATTGTTACTGTAAGAAACATGATGGACGTGTCCTCCGCCTTTAGACGACAGCTTACATGACTATGTACTAGAAATATTTATTTATTTTTTGATGTAACTGAGTAATGCAAAAATAATATAATATTAGTTACTATCAAAGGGTACCAAAGGGACTTATGCATACTTCATGTAAGTGCGAGGGTATATCTGTATGATAGGTGTTTTGGACTAAAAGTAGTGTAACTCTTACAATATAAAAAAAATTATATCTTAATACAAATATTTAAATTGTTTCAATTTTGAAATTGCCCTATGGAGTAAGGGCAACACTGTTAATACAACACTACTGCCCTAACGTTGCACATTATCAGTGGGACATTAAAAAAAAAAAATAGAAAGACAAATTACCCACTGAGGTAATTTGAATTATGTGCATGCTATTACATTTGAAAGTCTTTTATGAACATCAGGAAAACAAAATATACATTGTTTTATTTTATAGTTGTCTATAATCGTTTTTTACTAAAACTGCAGTACTAGTCTAGACTTCTGCATTCTTCTTGACTGGAGTAAGATTACTCAGTCCTCAGTGATTATTTTGCCGGTTTGAAAAGCCCTTCTGCTTTTAAAGTGTCTGAGAATTATCAAAGCAAAAATCTATTAAGTGATTGTTGATGTATTGTGGCTGCAGGACGGAGCCCACGAGCACCATGTCTGAAGCTCCTCTCCGCGCCGTCCCCATCCACCAACGCCCCGACTTGCTCGCCCCATGTGCAGATCTGGTGAACCAGGAGTGGAAGCGCAGTCAGGCCGCTCGCATCCACAGCCTTCAGAAATCCTGCTCAGAATTCCCGGTCTGCCTGGTCCTGCTCGGGGGCCAAAGTCGATGTGAGAGTCTCCTAGGACACTCGCGCTTGTCCCGCGTGGTGGGTCAAAGCAACAGCCTGTTTGTGGAATCTGTCGTTGTGTCTAAAGCAGAGAGAGGCAAAGGCTACGGCAGAGCACTCATGGAAGAAACTGAACGCTATGCACAAAACAGAGGCTTCAAAAGGCTTTACTTAACCACCCATGATAAGCAGCACTTTTACAAACACATGGGGTACGTCCTGTCCACTCCAGTGCAAAACGCAGGCGCGATGACTGCTTTTGTCCCCATGGAAACGCTTTTAAGATTTTCTCCATCGCCAAGTCAACCAGTAAATGCAGCTGAGAAATTGTCAAACAGGAAAGATGATAGTTCTATATGTCAAAACGCCCTTCCATCTCCTCCTCTTCCACCTCCTCCACCTGCTCCTCCACTGCTATTTCCTAAATCAAATGTCTTGCCACCTCCCCCACTTCCTGCTTCTTTGACAAAGCCGCCACCTTGCCCCGTTCCTCCTCCTACACCACCAGCGCCGCCCAAGTCTGTGGTGCAAACCCTGACTCAAACGCCTTACACAGACGCCAAAGGGATGCCCATATACTGGATGCACAAAGACATTTAAAATCTATATGTATAATGAATCTTATTGAACTGCAGCTGTAATGCAGTGATAATAATGTTTACACTTGTGCCTTGTGATCTCACCATTTTGCCTGAAACGTTTACAGAAGTCTTAACAATCGACTGCCTTTATTATACTACTCTTGAAGGACCAGCTTTTTGACCGAACTTTTGGAATTCTCTACTATGGTATGTGATGTCTTTAAACGAGTATCATGCTGAAACTACACCACACACATTTATTTAATTGTGGTCTTGTGTATGAACTGTGTTATATCAATATATTACGCCACAATATTGATCTGAGAAGACTAAATATACCTGTGAACTGAGATCTTTTCAAAACCTCAGAGATGTACCTCTGTTGTGATAGCGACAGATGAAAACATTGAGAGACTGAATATATCCGCTCAAACACACTTTACCCTCAATTGGTGCTAATAATTGATCCCAGTGTTGTGAAGGCAGAAATGTCCTTATCCAAAACGCAACTGTGACTCTGAATGTGCCTTATTTTAAAATGTACCTGTTTGAAAATGGGCAAAAAATAAAATCTCTTTGGAATATATGTTTCTGTATTTTTGACTTGGATCATTACAGTCTTTCAGATCACGTATCACCTATTCTACATGTCAAGAATGCTTCCAATTGGCTCAATAATCAACTTTATTTACAAAAACACACAAAGGCTGCATGAAGGAATCCAAGAGTTCAATTACGTGTCGATAAAACTACTTTGCAATGATATTAAATGATTTTTATCCATAGATACAAACATCCACAACAGTAGAATTCCCATGTCGGTCACGAGTTTCCATTGAGTGCTGTGAGGTTGTGTTTAAGATTGTGCAGCTCCTGGATCAGTAAAGTCAACTCTGTCACTGCTGTTTTCTTCTCTCTCACCGCCTCTGTCAGCATCCGGATAGCACCGCCCTGTTGCACTGCGGAAACAGAAAGAAATATATATTCATTCATCACATTAACAACACTCTTCACTATTTGAGATTACATTTAGATTTAAGTCAAATTTACAGTATGTATACAAAATATAAAAACATGATACAAAATAAACTGATACATAGTTTGAAAAAGCGGATGCTAATTTGGACCCAACCTCAAAAACACAAACACGCACATGGGCCCAAACACTCTCTGACCCTACACCTCTCTCCAATCACATACTTTGTGATTGTCTTTCCTCCACGTAGTCTTTAGAAGATTCTTCCCAATGGAGACATACTGTGCTTTTTTTACTAGATCATTATTTTGTTCACTATTTACCGCGATATTTATCATCGATAATAACTTTAAACCGGGATGTATCTAAAAATCACATCAAAGTACAAAGGTGGTGTTGCAACAAGAAACAAATCAGGATAGCTCAAAGTATGCAATAATAAATCTGATTAAAACTGGAGAAGAGCTAGCCTGCTTTGCCTTTATTGTCTTTACTCGTGGACAGTCTCTTGCCTCATTTGGAGCCACATGCAACCTCATGCACTGACTAAAATCCAACTTTTAAAATGGTCTCATCCTAACTTAAGACTAAATCAAAAATACAAGGAAGTGAAAACTTACAAACGTATTCTTGGATTATGTATTATAAACGGTTATAAATGTGCATTAAAATGATGCTAAATCTGGTGTAACCACTCATTTAGTGCATTTTTTAGATTAACAACATTCAGGCTGAAAGAGCCTCTGCCCAGATCCAGTGCTTTAAGTGGCCCAAAAGAGGTTTGGACACACCTCCGGAATCCACTTGTTTGATTGCCCTCCCTCAGCCAATCAGCTCTCAGGATGTAGAATATACATTGTTTTCTAATAAGATGAAGACTGTATACTGTGGTTTGATTTGGTCACAGAATCTAACTTAAACAAAACTCATTCTGTTTGGAAAAAACAAAATGTATTTATGAAACGAAAGAGTAAGGTACTCCGGCCTCTCTGTTATTGTTGATCACAAAAATGTCATGAAGTGAACAAGAATGACCTAAGAAATAGAAAATGAGCAGCACGGTAAGCAGCAGCAGCGTGATGATGGCGCAGCCCAGAGCGTAGGCCCGCGACGATGATGGCGTCAGCATGTCCTGGAGCCGCTTCTGCCACGAGCTGATTGGTTGAGCCGTTTGATTGACAGCGAAGGCGTCAAATGAGGGTAGGTTTCCATTTGGAGACGGGGTGTATGGGGGACGGGGAGGCCTCACTGTGGAAGAACACACAAAATATTTGTTTTTATTATGAGTTAGATCATGAAGGACAATGGCGCAGTGGCAGGCACGCTGGTGTGTACTCTCTGGTGCACTCTGGCGGAGTCTTGCACAGTTTTTCCAATGTGGTTTTACTGCAAATGGCCAAAAAAAATGTCAGGGTCTAAGGGGGAATAGGTCTTGTGTATTTTTGGCAACAGGAAAGAACAACATGCTAAAGACACACAAAATTGTCCACAAATTGTCCATGTTACTACTATACTCTGTAACCCAGTGTTGTTAAACATAAGGTTACCATGACCTGTTATACATTATTTTAATGTATTCAAAATATTCATAACCCACATCCTAAGTTTTCCTATATCATCACTTGTTAAAATTGTGTAAAAAAGACTAAATACCTCTACGTGATATAGCGGTAAGGTGATTATTTTATAAACAATTATGAAGTGAAATTTTATTATTCTGTTAACATCTGTGTGAGATTTCAAATATCTATTTCCAAATAAAAGAAGACGATATGGAACTCTCAACAAACTATATGAGTGAAATAAGTGAAGTGTAATTCATTTTCAACTATTTTGTTTTTAATCTTACGAGCAAAATCAGCCATAGCCAAGGCCAGTACATTGATGAGCTACCTTTGTGGCTGTGGTCTGTGTGGGTGCGGTGCAGGTCATTGATGGAGTCCACAGAATGCAGCTCGATCTCGGTCAGGTCTCTCTCGCTCACTCTGTAGAACTGAGGAGTGGGGGGGGAGGAGGGCGGCCGAGACATCTGCACTGGACCAAACACATGAGGATCAGACAGAAACACACAAACTAATGCCCTCTCATCTTTCCCTTATATAACAGTCAATATAATATGGTTCTAGAGCTGCTTTTCTATAATTAAATGAGTATGCACGAAACAGTCCTGTGGTCCGGCTTTATATGTCACGTTTGTAAATGATGTTGGCTTCCTCAAACCACGACCTCCAACATGCACTGGGACGATATGCGGCTGAGTATGAAGTGGGATGAAATGAGAAAGGATAGCTCCAAGTGAAAATAGAGGAGGTCAAAATCAGTGGCAAAGACTGGCTTGACACTCCCTAGAGTTATGGAGCTTGCACTAGACCCACTATTCCTCAACATGAGCTCCAAGACGCCTCCCTGGAAAGACCCAGATCGTGCTCGTGGTACTCCTCGATGACAATGTTTAAAACGAGGTTAAAGACAGTTCTGTTTAGCTGTGCATACAACTGAGGGATTTTATATTTTTATCTTTATTTTTAATGTTCTGTGATTATTTATGATTTTAATGCTTTCTTATTTTGTTCAGCACTTTGAATTGCCTTGTGTATGAATTGTGCAAGGAGAAAGACGCCTGCATCTCAGCCACTGCTTGTTACCTGACCGTGGAGTGGAGGACATGTGAAGGTGGACATTTCTTTTAAGATTGTAAGCTCCAGTGGCGCAATCGGTCAGCGCGCGGTACTTATAAGACAGTGACCTGCAGAGTGATGCCGAGGTTGTGAGTTCGAGCCTCACCTGGAGCATGACAAGTTTTAATATGAATCTGTAATTTACACTCAGAAACACGTCTCGGTGAAGTCATGAAATCTACACTGCCTTAGCCATCCGTACACTCCGTTCAATGACCAGGCTATACTTCCTGTAGAAAGGCATCAAGGAGAGGAATAGTCAATACAAATGAGCCCCACAGAGGGACAGTCTTGCTCAGGTTTAACTGATGGTTGCTGCCTTACTTTGCATTTGGTCAACAACAACAAAAGAATTGCACAGTATGGGCGGGTGAAATAGCTCCGCCTTTATATCCAAAATGTCTTGTTTTAATGACATTTCCTCAATTTCATATTCTCAAGATGAAGGGAATCTTCTAAACCCTGAATTCAGTACATATCTTTTACAAAAGAAAGTTCCAGTGGCTATAGTGCCTTGCCCTCTCCAGGTGGGTGGTCCTTCCTCAAGTGGAGGAGTTCAAGTATCTCGGGGTCTTGTTCACGAGTGAGGGAAGAATGGAGCGTGAGATTGACAGGCGGATCGGTGCAGCGTGCGCAGTGACGGTCACTGTATTGGACCGTTGTGGTAAAGAGGGAGCTGAGCCGAAAGGCAAAGCTCTCGATTTACAGGTCAATCTTCGTTCCCTCCCTCACCTATGGTTATGAGCTGTGGGTAATGGCCGAAAGAACGAGATCGCGGATACAAGCGGTCGAAATGAGCTTCCTCCGCAGAGTGGCTGGGCGCTCCCTTAGAGATAGGGTGAGGAGCTCAGTCACACGGGAGGAGCTCGGAGTAGAACCGCTGCTTCTCCACGTCGAGAGGAACCAGTTGAGGTGGCTCGGGCATCTGATCCGGATGCCTCCTGGACGCCTCCCTGGGGAGGTGTTCCGGGCAGACCCAGGACACGCTGGAGGGACGTCTCTCAGCTGGCCTGGGAACGCCTTGGGGTCCCCCGGACGAGCTGGAGGAAGTGCTGCTGCCCCCGCAACCCGGCAACGGATGAAGCAGAAGAAAATAGATGGCTGGATGGAAGCTCCAGTGGCGCAATCGGTCAGCGCGCGGTACTTATAAGACAGTGACCTGCAGAGTGATGCCGAGGTTGTGAGTTCGAGCCTCACCTGGAGCATGACTGGTTTTGAGTTGATCACTCTACATATGGTCAGCAGTACATAAAAGACCCTGGCACAATACCCACACTGCACCCTACACACCTTTACAAAGTGTGCATTTGTTTCAAGTGCACGCAAGGGTTTGAGTGCGCAGTGCAGGTTACGTCATTGACTAGTCAATAGTTGGTCATCTTCCTAAACCTAAACTTTATAAAAATTAAAGGTAATTTCGTCCGACCCTGTGGGAAACAGAAGTAGTGTTGCTCAACACACGTTAAAATATTTGTATATTGGTTATTCGTATTTATAGATATAATTTTAAGTTAAATGTGGGTAACTGTTAAGTTTTTATCCTAAGTTTATTGTACTAATTGTAAAGTTTAAATTGAAGGTTATATGATTGCATTAAAAAAGTTAGGGAATTGTTACCATAGAATGTCCTTAATTATTTTATATTTATGCTTCTTTCCATGTAACATAGCAAAGGGGGCAGGGCGAAAGACCTCCCTGGAGAAGCACTCGCAACCATCGTCGAGAACGCGCAAATGAGGGGCGCGAGGGTGGAAGTGCGAGTATTGGGACAGGGCCATCTGACACGAATGTTGAGGATGACCAGTCAGGCTAGTTTTTCCCCTTTGGGCCATTTCTTGTACCTATATTAGTTAAATGCATGTTCCAGTGGCACACATGTCAGCGCGCAGTACTTTAAAGACAGTGATTCGCTGAGGTTGTTAGTTCAGCAAATCACTATATGTGTTGTTTACATATAGAAATACTTACAGGTGAAGTCGTTCAAACTACACTGACATGCCCTTAGCCTACAATATATGATTCCGCAATCAGACTGAGTTTAGAGTAAGTACCTGTTTAAGACCTTCTTCCTAGAAAGGCATCAAGGAGAGGAATAGTCAATAAATACAAAGTAAATAAGAATTGAGACGCACTGTGCACCAGTCGGTCATGACCACAGAGGGACAATCTGTATTGCTTAGGTTTAACTATCTGATGCCTGCCCCCTTACTTTACATTTGAAATCCAATTGTAATGGAGGAGGCCATCTCAGTATACCGAATACAAATTCTATAAAACTCCTATTGCTCCAGGTGAGGCTCGAACTCACAACCTCGGCATCACTCTGCATGTCACTGTCTTATAAGTACCGCGCCTTAATGGCCAAAATGTCGACAAGTACTTCTTTTGGTTACACTTCTTTCACGTTGGAAGAGGCTCTAGTGGCGCAATCGGTCAGCGCGTGGTACTTATAAGACAGTGACCTGCAGAGTGATGCCGAGGTTGTGAGTTCGAGCCTCACCTGGAGCATTTGACAAGTTTTAATATGAATCTGTAGTTTACATTCAGAAACACGTCTCGGTGAAGTCAGGCAATCTACACTGACAGGATCTACTTCCTGTAGAAAGGCATCAAGGAGAGGAATAGTCAATACAAATGAGCCCCACAGAAGAACAGTCTTGCTCAGGTTTAACTATCTGATGCTTGCTGCCTTACTTTGCATTTGGTCAACAACAACAAAAAGAATTGCACAGTATGGGCGGGTGAAATAGCTCCGCCTTTATATCCAAAATGTCTTGTTTTAATGACATTTCCTCAATTTCATATTCTCAAGATGAAGGGAATCTTCTAAACCCTGAATTCAGTACATATCTTTTACAAAAGAAAGTTCCAGTGGCTATAGTGCCTTGCCCTCTCCAGGTGGGTGGAGAGGTCCTTCCTCAAGTGGAGGAGTTCAAGTATCTCGGGGTCTTGTTCACGAGCGTGAGATTGACAGGCGGATGAACCCGGCAACGGATGAAGCAGAAGAAAATAGATGGCTGGATGGAAGCTCCAGTGGCGCAATCGGTCAGCGCGCGGTACTTATAAGACAGTGACCTGCAGAGTGATGCCGAGGTTGTGAGTTCGAGCCTCACCTGGAGCAATAGGAGTTTTATAGAATTTGTATTCGGTATACTGAGATGGCCTCCTCCATTACAAATGGATTTCATTTGCTTCATGACAGTATATGGATTATACTTCCAATCTGCTACTAAAGTCTATGGCTACTACCTTGAAAGTGTCATTGTTTTTGTTTTTAGTATAAGCTCCAGTGGCGCAATCGGTCAGCGCGCGGTACTTATAAGACAGTGACCTGCAGAGTGATGCCGAGGTTGTGAGTTCGAGCCTCACCTGGAGCATGACTAGTTTTGAGTTGATCACTCTACATATGGTCAGCAGTACATAAAAGACCCTGGCACAATACCCACACTGCACCCTACACACCTTTACAAAGTGTGCATTTGTTTCAAGTGCACGCAAGGGTTTGAGTGCGCAGTGCAGGTTACGTGATCGACTAGTCAATAGTTGGTCATCTTCCTAAACCTAAACTTTATAAAAATTAAAGGTAATTTCGTCCGACCCTGTGGGAAACAGAAGTAGAGTTGCTCAACACACGTTAAAATATTTGTATATTGGTTATTCGTAATTATAGATATAATTTTAAGTTAAATGTGGGTAACTGTTAAGTTTTTATCCTAAGTTTATTGTACTAATTGTAAAGTTTAAATTGAACGTTATATGATTGCATTAAAAAAGTTAGGGAATTGTTACCATAGAATGTCCTTAACTATTTTATATTTATGCTTCTTTCCATGTAACATAGCAAAGGGGGCAGGGCGAAAGACCTCCCTGGAGAAGCACTCGCAACCATCGTCGAGAACGCGCAAATGAGGGGCGCGAGGGTGGAAGTGCGAGTATTGGGACAGGGCCATCTGACACGAATGTTGAGGATGACTAGTCAGGCTAGTTTTTCCCCTTTGGGCCATTTCTTGTACCTATATTAGTTAAAAGCATGTTCCAGTGGCACACATGTCAGCGCGCAGTACTTTAAAGACAGTGATTCGCTGAGGTTGTTAGTTCAGCAAATCACTATATGTGTTGTTTACATATAGAAATACTTACAGGTGAAGTCGTTCAAACTACACTGACATGCCCTTAGCCTACAATATATGATTCCGCAATCAGACTGAGTTTAGAGTAAGTACCTGTTTAAGACCTTCTTCCTAGAAAGGCATCAAGGAGAGGAATAGTCAATAAATACAAAGTAAATAAGAATTGAGACGCACTGTGCACCAGTCGGTCATGACCACAGAGGGACAATCTGTATTGCTTA